TTCTCAACAAATGCAGCTCAAACCGATCTCATTTTTTTGACAAGTTAATTTTTTATTGGTTCACCATTTTGGTGTTTTTGACTTTTTTTTTTTTGGTGTTTTGAGTCTTTTAACCCAATTCATGATTTTTGAATTTTGGGTCAAGATAAGGGGCTTTGAGCAATGAAAGCATATATAAAGGATAAAAGGTAAATGGCCTTAAATAAGTAAATATCTTGGAAGTGATGGGTAAAATTAGATCAAGATTTTAATGATTTTTTTAAAAAGAATTTTAACATTTATTTTGGATAGAGATTAAAATAGTTATTGAGAAAGCAGTTTGTGTGTAGATGAAACAAGTAGGAAATTACAAGTTGATATTTTGTCTTGGCAACCAAAATTCATTAACTTGCCTGCCACCTTCTAGGCCTACCTTTTGCCTTTTGAGTGTCCCATTTCCTATTGCCTTTTGGTTTATTTATGTACAAAATGTCTAAAATACTTTTAGATCAAAAAAAAATTAAATACACAAAAATTAAAGTTCTTTTTTAATATGTATGAAAGTTAAACACAAACACTTAAAATAAAAACGAAAAGAATAGTATTTATTAAAATAAATTAGAAGATATTTAAAAGTTATGATTCTTGTTTCAACTTACAATCATATATACTCATTCAATCATACTTAATTTCAAATGAAATTATCATTTCTTGTTAATTGAGGAACATAGTAGTAATTTCCTAGTTTTCATATTATTTGAAATTGAAATAATAACAATTTTATTTGCATTTGAAGAAAAAATTATGAAAGGGTAATTTTCATCACTTTGAAAGGATTTAACTTATGTAGCGAAAGAAAAGTCCATTTAGAAGAAGAATAAGAAGAAAAAAAAAAGCAATGTATTTATGCTTAATTTAAGATATATGTGTTAGTATTGGGTAAAGTAATTGATTAGAGTATATTGAATATTCTACAAAAACTTGAGTGGGGCAACATTTGGACTTATTTTTGTGTTTGTAGATTAAGATTCCAAGTCATAGTGATTATAAAAATCAAGGCTATGGTTTCATAATTAAGATTTGATTAATGAGTCTGTAGACACCCCATTTTGTCTGAAAATATTTTTTGGAATTAGGCTTCAATCGTAATTGAGAAAATTTTGGGATTTAATTTCAAAATCAATTGGTATTAAACGTGATGTGGAGAGATTGTCAGGATTTAATTCCATAATCAATTCACATTAAAATGATAAGGAGAGATTTTTGGGATTTGATTTCAAAATCAATTCTCATTAAAACAGAAATCAAATAAAATTATAAATTTAAAAGGAATTGATGGAACATGAATTCTTACATAAATCTATTATCAAAGCAAATGGAGGGGAGAAAAAAGATTATGCAGAAACTCTTAAGAGAAAAAAGAAAATTTGTTTAGCAACCAAAAGGTTTTAGGTTCTAGGTTTGATTTGTTTAGATTTTCTATAGTTGGGATTTGGTGTTTTTGAGTTTGAATTTCTGTAGGGTTTTACATTCTAAGGATTCCTGGGTTTAACTTTCTAGACAATTTGTTGGGTTTTTGAAAATTTTCTGTCAGTTTTTAGGATTTATTCATCAATTTTTGAAAATCAATTAGAGAAAAGATAGAATAATAACCATTTTAGAAAGAGAAACATACTCAAACATTTTTGAAGAAAAGCCTAAATTTGAGGCATTTAAATCTGTATGTTTTACCATACACAATCCAACACGATCGCAGGTATTCTTTTTTCCTTTTTCACTCCATTTTTTGTTTTGATTCTATTTTTCTTATTTTGTTTATTTTTATTTATTTTATTATTCTTATTTTAAATTAAAAAAATACATTACTTATCATTATGATTTTTTTTAGTTATTTATGAAATAAATAAAAAACCTTTTTCAAATAAGTCTAAAAGAATAAATAAAAAAATCTTTTTTTAAAAATGAAAATCCTTATAAAATAAATTCATGAATTCTACCAAACTATTGGAGAAATTTCATGGATTTAATTTTTAAAATGAAATCAACCAAACTATTGAAAAATTTCATAAATCAGTTTTCAAAAAATAAAAAAAATAAAAAAATAATTTTTATCCTCTAAACTATTGGAGGATTACTTCATAGATTAAGTCATACTAAACTATTGGGAGACGTAATGAAATTCTTAAAAAATTTTATAAATATTTTAGTAATAAAATCTTCCCAAACTATTAGAAGATTTGCTTTAAAGTAAGTCCTACCAAACTATTGGGAGATTTTATTAATTTTTTTGAATAAAATAAATTAATAAATTTGATAACGGAACCTCTTCAGAGCGGATATTAGTCTCCATGAATATTCTTAAGATGAAAAAATTATCTTAAATTACTACCAAACTATTGAGACAAATTTAAGATTAATTTTCAATGCTAAATACTTTGGTAAAACATAAACATTTTTTAGGCTTAGATTATTTGAAAAAAAATTGTATATGTTGAAATTTAAACTCTAAATTTATTAAATATTATTTTTATAAAAATAATTAATATTCTACATGAATCAATTAAGCTAAATGTTGGATTCAATTAATTTAATTTTTTTACAATAATAAATCTCAAGCTTAAGTATGAGTGACATTTTATTGGCATTTTCAAGAATCATGTAAATGATTAGTAAAATGCTTGAGTTATCATTATTTAATCTCTTGAATCCATAATTTATTTCAATTAATTTATATAATTATTCTTAAGATGTGATATTCAATATTTTAAATTTAAATCTTATCGCTTATAACCCTTTTAATCTTTAACAATTTCAACTATAAAATAATATCGACAATTGTCCCAAATTTAAATATTTGTGTAATACACGTCTTAATTAATGATACAATTAAAGCGGATAATATAATTCAAACGTTTTTTTTTCACTTAAACTAAATGAATAAAAGGATATTATCAAAGTAGAGTATAGAATTGGATCACGTAAAGTATGATTTATGGACATCCATTCGTATTACTTAGCAAGCATTAAATTTTAAGGAGAATAATCTAATGCAAAAGTCCAAGTTTTCAACCGTAGGAGAGAGGGTGGCCATAAAGAAACCAACGCAAATAAATGGGACCAAAGTGATTGCGACCAATGCATTGCAATTCATGGGCTTTTTTTCTCGTTTGATTTTTTTTTTTTTTTTTATTACAAAGTTGAATTTGAAACCTTTAATTTTATAGTTGAATGACTCAAACCCTTCTTCAAAATATCTTCATCAATTACTAACAAATTTCATAATTACTCTTTTTATTAGATCACCCTACATCCACATGTGTCATTATAAAATTAAGTTTCCAATAACATCTCTTTATAGTCTATTCTTATATATTAAAATAATCTCTTTTGGGTTAATGGCTTACTTTTGTGATTTAGGTGATGCTTAAATTGATTTTTGTTGATTTTGAAGGCGATTTATGGAGAAAGATTTTATTTGTTAGATTTGGTTTTGGAAAAGATAAATGGTTTAGAATTTTGTTTGTTAGATTAAAACAAGTCCTTCAAAAAATATTGTTGGCAAATGCTTGGTGCATTTTAAATAAATAAAACTAAAGGTAGAACTTTAGCCCATTTTATATAAACAAGTTTAATTTTATTTATTTTTTGCAAACATTTAATTAAAAAAATTGTAGTTAACTATTCATTATTAACTTTCAAAGTTTAAATTAATGGTCATTCATAATTTTGGGCAATGGATTCAAATAGCTAAAAAGGTGCATAATTATTCAATTTCTCTTATTTGGATATCGAATTTTGAGAGAAAATTTAAGAAGGGAAAGAAGAAAAACCATCAATAACCATGGATTTGTTTTAAATCATATTTTCCTGCCCCTTCAAAACAAGAAAGCACTTAATTTTGGAGAGAAATAATGAAAACCAATTGATAAATTTATTTAGTTTGTAATCATATCTATTAGCAAACAGAAAATACTCCTTAAAACATTTACCCAATTAGGGACCCTTTTAGATGAAATGGTTGTTTAAATGGCACATATCAAATCTTTTAATATTTACTTTCTTTTGTTATACTTATAAGAATATTTAAGTAAATAGGGATGTAAACCCTAAAATCATCATTTTCTTAAAATGAAATGTAATGACTTAAATCAAATAAATTTTTTTTCACAAAAGAGGTTACAGTACAGAATATATGGAAAGGGTTTAAGATATTATGATTTAAATTTTAAAGATGTGTTTAATCGAGATATTTGGTGGAGAGATTTCATTTCAATCAAGATTTTAAAAATTCTAAAATAAATTTACTTGTTTGGCTAAGACTAAAAGAAAAATTTCAAAATTTAGATGCAATTTCAAGAGAGAATTTGAGATAATCAAATTCCCTTTTGAAATTCCACCTAAATAGGTAATTTTTTAAAAAAATTTCAAATATTAAGGTTTTGCTTGATAGGAATGTTGAAAAAAGGATAAGGATAAAAACTTATCAATCAAATGGGTAAGTTGCAAAATAAGAAAATTATTATGAATTTTAACTATTAAATTAAAATTTTTTTTATTCTCACCTCTTTCAATCATTTCTACTGCATAAAGTGTAACTCTTTTTATTGCATACCATAAAATATAAACTCAAAAAATAAATATAATTATATTCAACTATAATATATAGTTTTTTAGATTATTAATAATATTTATATATTTTTACAAATATAATGACACACATATTACATATTTTATTTATACATACACTTTTATTTTTAATATCATTGTTCTTCTTTTATAATTATTTTTTGTCTCATCAAATTTTAACAGTCCAATTTTTTTAAAGAAGTATTTATCCAAACAAATACTAATATTTTGAAATAATATATTTTAAATGCCTTTATTTTTAATTTTTTTCAAAATTTAAAAATTTTTAATCCAAACATATTGTAAATCTATTAAATATTATATTTTAAAAATAATTTAATAAATTAATTGAGAATTCTAATTCAAATTAAATAAATTTTGAAAAAAAAAAAAGTATAGATCTGGAATAAATTCTTAATGGGCTTTTAGGAAGGGATAGGCCATGGCTAGCATGTAATATGCTCCACCCAAATCGAATCTTTTGGGTTTTTTTTTATTATTATTTTTTATTAATTTGATAAACGAATCTTGGATTTTATGATTTTCATGCCCTGAAGTTGAACCCAATGAGCAAAAGAAGACGCAAAGAGTTAAGGAGAAAGGGAAGATGGGAGTAACAAAGGATCAAGTTGAATCTTCATTGAATTCAAAATTGAAGCCTTCTCATCTGGTAACCTCCTCGCCTCTATTTCATCTTCTTCAGTTATTGTTGATATACATATATTCTGATCAAAGTTGGAAAATGTCAGCAACCTGGAACTGGGTTCTTTTTAGTTTCCTCTTATCAATTGAAAGTAAATGGCTTTATTTTTTTTTCTCCCTAATCATGTTCCACAAATATAATAAACCCATGAACATGCTTTAGCTATTTGCTTTTTACTTTGTAATAAACTTTTCTTTTTGAAGAATTACAAATTATAAATGTGTTTTCAATTTTAGAAAAAATTCGTGGTTCTACTTTTTTTTAGAACAATTATTTCATAGTTACATTTTAGCAATTTTCTGATATCGATTAAGTGAAAACAAGTAGTGCGAAATGCAAGGGGATATGAGTAGAGCTTTAATTTTGTTGAATACTTGTGGAAAAGCAAGTTGTGAATTTGTGAGAAATTGAGAATCATGCCGCCTTTGAAGAAATTGTTTAAGATTTTTGTGTCACTCTTGAAATGTTTGTTGGTTAATGGTTCACTTGAGGCTGGAGTTGGTTGAATGAGAAAGAATAATGCCTTTCCTGCTTTGAGGTGGAAAGATTGTTCATTCTTTTGGAATGATTGGGCTCATTTAGGCTTTTAACTTAGATGCTATCTCTAGGGTGCATGCACTTGTTTGAGCACAAGGCAGCTCAGCTATAATTTGCTGCTTTGCAGGGGCCCAAGCTCATTCTTGACATGTAACCATCATTGTATCTTCATTTGTTCATAGAGAAAGCTTTTGTGATGAAAATGGTCTTGGAATTAATCTTAATTTTACCACTACTTGGACCCAGTTTTAAGTGATGTCGAGAATAGTACCCTATCATATTGGCTTTGGTTTCTCTTGAGGAGAGAACATTAAAAGCTAATAATTTTCCTTTTTGTTTCTGAAAGGTTTGACAGTGACATTTATAAAAGTCGGGTTCAACATTAAAGGCTTCATGTTTACATACACTGATAGATATTAACAAGGAGCAATGGTGCCTTTCTAGTCTCTAGTTGATATTTCTCCCAGCATGATTGTCTGAGTTTTTATGAGAATTAAACTTGTTCCATTGTTGCCTCGTATGTTATGAAGATATAAGTTTGTTATTTGCAATTTTTTCATTGGCCATACTCGCATTGCTAGAATATGGTGGTACATTTCAGTGTATTTGAAAGCATCTGATTAGCTGCTGAAAGAAGTGCGCTGCATGCTTTTCGAAATTCTATATCTTTCTGACCAGGATGCAGATGATCATGATAAGACCACTTGAAGAAGAAAGTTTAGTGCTCATTTTCCAAATCGGCTTGTACACTGTTTTATGCTGGAAAAGATTAATTGTTTTTAATTGTGTTTGTCAGTTATGTTGTACTGTCCTCTTTGAAGTGTCACATTTTTTTAAGTTAGCTCTGTTCTTTTGTGTGTTACGAGGGATGTCTTCTGTAAGCTTATGTATTCCTTATTTCCCACGTAGTTAGAACATAGCACCATATACCCAAATGGCTTTTAACACATGAACTCATCCTTCATCCGATTCATATTGTTAAAATGAGGATTTAGCCCAAAGGTTATTAGTATCTTATGGCATTGTTTTCCTTTTTCCCTATAAATATAGGTGGAATATGAGGTTACATGTTCAATCAAACTTGACAACTTCTTTGCCTGACGGGGTTCCCTTTTGACTCAGTTGTTCTTTAGTTCCTTGTTCAAATTTCCTGATCAGTTTTGTTTATGCATTGATGATTGCTAGAAATCTATCTGCATTTATAATTGGGACTGACACCCAACTTTAATTTATTTATTTTTTTAAATTGCTTTCATATGTATTTATTACTTGGACAGGCGAAAGCCTTCTTAAGATTTATTAAGAGTTGTTTTCTATCTTGATACCTGTATGTCTGATGCTATTTTCATGAAAACTAATGTTTGTACTTGTGTGTTTCAGGAAGTAATTGATACATCTGGCGGGTGAGCTTATTCTGAACATTTTTTATTTGAGTTTCTGCACTAATCCATCCTTCACCTTTTTGAAATTTTATGATGAGTTTGTAATTGGATTAGGTGTGGTGCAAGTTTTGCAATTGAGATTGTATCCGAACAATTCATAGGGAAGAGGCTTCTGGAGAGACACCGGATAGTGAATGCGGCTCTTGAAGAAGAGATGAGGCAAATCCATGCTCTTTCAATAAAGAAAGCTCTCACCCCCGAGCAGTGGAAACAACAAGAAGAGTCAGAAAAATCTAAATCACATGCTTAGAAAGATACTCAAGTAATTCAGACATTTAAATAAGAGTTCATGTGGCCACTTGAGAATTAACTTTTGATCTCAGATAACCACTTGAGAATTGGCTACTTTTCAAGAGTTGTTTTAGAATGTTACTCTATAATTGTAATAACCTTTACATGGGGGCGTTAGATGCATAGCTTGCTGGGGATGCCTGGAAAACCATATACTTGACTAGCTAAAAGAATGGAAAAGTAAACTAATGTCAAGATGGGAGATTGATATGTTCAAAGAGTTGAAAGGAGTTGGCCAAAAACAATTGCAGTGCCAATTCTACCTTTAGATTTTGCCCCTCATCCAATCTTATCATCGAATTTGAGCATTTAAGGAAATTGGTAAGTGTGTGTGTGTGTGTTTTGAAGAATCGGATTATAATTTTTTCTCCCAGTGCAGAAATCCTTTCCCAACTGCCCAAAAAATAAAATTCAAACTACCCTTTTAATTTGATATTGAAACCCTAAACATACTGACCAACAGCTCAGCTGTGCGGTTCTACTGTTGAATCAACGTACCCGGGTGACTTGTTGGGTAGAATATCAAATGTAGATGCATGATTTGTTGATAGAATATGACATATAAATGTGTGATTTATCAAATGTTATATATTAATCAATAATTATGTGATCTATTGATAGATTATCAGATTATCTGATCTTACATGATTTCATCTGCAACCTCAATTAAAGAAAAATTAAACGCATACTAAACGTGTCGTTGGCTAATTCAAACTTATCAACTGGATAGGACGATTCCATCCCAGCTAAACTTGCCATGGTCCTGAGCTACTTCGCATCGTCTGGCCATGAACCTGGGCTTCATTTTTCTTTCCAAAACACAAGGGAATTAGAACTTTTTGCGCCAATGACTGCTTTCATTTCCTACAAGCTTATCCAGCCAAAAACCAAGCTCCCCGAATCGTTCATCGGATATACAAAATCAAAGAAAGGATGAGAACTTGCAGAGTGGTCTCAGCCAAATGTCCAATGACTAGGAGCAATAGATTTAGACCCACTTATACCACCAAAGTTGCTGAACAGAACGCTGGCTTAGTTGGCGAGGAAGATGTAAATGAAGATTTTAAAAAACTTTCCCAGCTCAAAACAAAACTCTTCCAGGAAGTCAACGGTATGGCCATTGGAATTTTCAGCCCATTTGTTTTCTTTATTTAGCTCCTATTTACAATAAAAGAATAACATGGTGAAAATTTTTTAGATGAATTACTGAAATGTTTGTTTCATCCATGTATATATTCAAAGGAATCAATAGAGGGATTTTTGGATTACCATCCTCAAAGAAAACTGATATTGAAGCTCTGGTGAAGCTGCTAGAATCCCAGAACCCAACTCCTGATCCTACTTTGAATCTAGAAAAGGTAAACTTTCAGTTGTATTCTATTGAGAAAATAAACTAAAGGATGTAGTTACAGTTTTGCTTCTATAAACGGAATGGTGGATGGTTGCTGGAAGCTAGTTAACAGTACAATTACAGTCTTGGGTTCAAAGAGAACAAAGCTGGGATTAAGAGATTTCATCACCTTGGGTTCAAAAGGTATATGAATTCATGATTAGATTTTCTTACAATGAAACTAATGAGCATTGCTTCATTGACTACTCTTATTCTCCAATTTCAAGAAGTTGCTTGAGAAATTCCATAACTGAACAATTCAAATGTCCAGAATCTTATCTTATTACCGAATTTAAACACTGATGTGCGTTTTCTATATGAAACTGTGTTTGTAATGTCGTTTGCCTTTTACTAAGGTTAACATTGGGTCATGGGAAAATGAAGAGCAAAGCAGTTAATGTGATCAAGTTCAATGCCAGTGGATTGAGTTTGTTAAGTAGGAAGGTGACAATTGAAGCTTCCTTCAAGATTACATCCAAATCAGTAAAGCTGCAATCCATTTGCTGCCTTTCCTTCGACGTTTTGTTCAACATATATATAATGATGGAACTGTTTTTTGTTTCAAATTCTGTAGAGTTGATATAAATTATGATAACTTAACTATCACTCCTGATCAGGTACGCTGCAAAACTTTCACTATTTTTTAGTCAACGAATACTAAATTTATCTCTAACTTCAATTTCTTTTTTTTTTTGAGAAACCATAGTTGATGAATGTATTCCGGAAAAATTAAAATCTTTTGCTAGCTGTCTTCAATCCAGAGGGCTGGCTGGAGATCACATATCCTTTCTTACTACTTTGGTACATTAAAGTTGATTTTCTCACCCAACATTTTAATTACTATCTTCTTCCTGTTATAACTTGAGATTAGAGTGTTAAGTTGTATGGAACCTAATTATTAATGTGACGCAGAGTAAATACGCTTATTGATCTTGTTTGCTTTGTTATTAGAATGTGTTTGGTTTAGAGAAATCCATAAATTTTTTTTGAAAATTTTGATGGTAGATATTTTTTTTTTTGCGATTAGTTCAGAGTAATTCGATTACAGGAAAAAATATCAGATTCTCAATAGTTCTTAAAGTCTCAAAATCAGAAACTCACATCTTCTTACGATATTTTAAGATTTTGATAAGAAAAATTATTTTATTTCTAAATTTGACCTGAATAAAAAAATTTATCATATATCTATTACTCTTTTAAAAAGTAAATTTAAAATTCAATTTCAGTTTTTTTTAAAAATTTATTTTATTTTAATTCAGTTTTAATATGTAACAATTCAAGCAATTATAAAAAAAAACGCCTTAATTGATTCTACAAATGCCTTAACTGATATCAATTAAAGTGATTTTTTTTATACAAATGTCTTATTTGATTTTTTTTTTCAAAATTTTTATAAAAATATCAAAATAAAGTATTTCTTTGAACAAATGTTTTTTTTGACTCATTCAAATAAAGCGTTTTTTTTTTTTTTTTAATAAATACCTTATTTTTCAAAATCTTTACAAAAACAAATGAGGCGTTAAGCTTTTCCAAATGCTATAATTAATTTTTTATATTTTTATACAACAATAATGGCTTGATGTTTAGTTAAACACTATAATTGAGTATATTTAATTAAAAAAATTAAAATATTTCTTTTCTTTTATTGCTAAAAATATTATTTGTCATTTGAGATTTTTTTTATTAAAACAAAATAAAAGATTGCCTACAGTTTATTAAAGAGATTATAATAATTATATATGAATTAATAAATAAAAATTTCTCATACTAAACAAATGAATCCTATTATGAAATGTCTTAAAAATCAAATAAAATCTGGAATATCAAACTTTTAGAGTATTATATTTTTTCTTAAAATTTAAAATTGCGTAAACCAAACGTCCCGTCATTATTTTTTTGAAAATAAGACTTTAATCCTAACATAAAGAAAGGGGTCGTCCAGTTTTTTCTTATTTCAGTTGAAATTTTGGATATATATCACCAAAAAAGATAGCATAATATTCTCCAACACATGCATGATTGTTGGTTTACTTTATGGGGATAAAGGACAAATTTGTCACTATATATAGATGAGGGTATTTTGGTGATTTTTGGACCAAAACTAAGTAAAAATACAGGTGATGTTAGAAACTGAAGCATAACCTCAATACCCTACGTTAACATAGGATGCAATGAAGGGCAGCTACATAGGCTGTAGAGAATCTTGATGGCCCATTGATCCCGTTCAAATAAGTAATGCTTCTTCAATACAATTTAAAACTAGGCCCATGCTCATTTTTTATGATAGCTTCTCTATGCTCAACTAGTGTTTCGCCAATGCGGGATTTATTATCACCTGATTTACTCCAATGTTCTTCTGTATCCCTTTTACCAGGACATCAACCTACTCATTTAATATTTAGATCATCCGCAAATCTTGTCTCAAGCAAAGCTAGTGTAACGGCATGTCGTTCGTAGGTTTTTTTTAAATAAAGAACGACACTTATAAGTTTTTACTTCTACTATCATAATACTCCCCTCAATCTTAAGTAATTCTTTTCACTTGGGACTTGTCATTGCGTTGTCGGCTAAGAAATGGTTGGTAGGACAAATTTGAATCCGGTCTTTAAGCCATCTTCAATCACAAGTTTTCTTGCCAAACAAAAAACCAATAAAATCTCATCAATTCTAGGTACCTAGAAAACAAATGGAACTAATTTGATTTTTGAACTAACATTGGTAAAGAAGCAGTTCGAAGACAAATGTAACTCAAATGACTTTTATTCTAAGATTGGTGTAAGGTACTCGAATAGAAATACCATTTCAAAAATTAACATATGCCGCTTCAGGTGGCAAGTATACGGTATTTTCTAATAAAAGGGAAACAATAGTTTGCTTTGTACTCGCCACACAAATCCTTAAGTTGAAGAGCATTGATCCATGATGCTCTATAAGCTTGTGAAGAACCAGCTAAGTGCTTTCTGAGTGCGACATGGGATTCGTTTTTAAGGTCTTTGATTAGAATCGATGATATAGAGTTTGGTTTTTAGAAAACAAAATACTACAATTTAAAAAAAAATTTAAAAATAGTATTCAATAAGCAGCTCTACCTTCATCCATTATTTTTCCCTTTTAAAGATAGCCGTCTAAGTTGTGTAATAGTTAGGACCATAATAGCTTAGTTCGGATCAAATTTGATTTGATTTTTTTAATATTATATAATATTATGAAAATTTAAAATTTGATCCAAATTTAAACCAAATTTTATTCAATTTGAATCGAATTGAATCGAATTTTATTGGTTTGATTTGATTTATCGATTTTTAATTTTTTTTAAATTTTTATGTATTATTTTAATATAAAAATTTAATATATTTAAGTAGATTTTGATATAAAAGTATTATTTTTATTTTATAAAAATTTTAAAAATATATAAAAATTAAAAAATATATATAATTTAATTTAGTTCGATTTGATTTTTTTTTTCAGTTTTTCACCTTTTAATTCGAAACTAATCTGAATCTAATGTATAATTTAATATCCAAACTTGATTCGAACCAAACCTATTACTATGGATTTAAATCAATTTTTGAATTTTTTGAATTTTTATCTTATCCTACTACTAGTAGTAGTAGGTTTGGAATTGAAAGGACTACCAGCATATATCTACCTTGTAGTAAAGAAAGCTTCCCACCTCCTCAGATTTCTCAATTGGATTTCTTAGGAATTGAGAGATTTTTCAAGTTAAACATAGAATTAGACAGCATGAAATTTCATTAGTATATCCATGAGGCGAAAGGATCATTTCCCTTAATTAAAAAATAATAAAAATTTTTACTAATTCATCAAAAGGTCAATAAGTGCAATTCACCTAAATTTATGATTAATATTTATTTAAATCATTTTTTATTTTTTAATTAATTTTTATATATTTTCATATTCATTTTAAA